AATAACAAAGTTTTTCGGGATGAAACGTTGTTTTTTTTAAGTTTGGGACCTTTTTCATCAGGATATGCCACTTTTTTAGCGAAAAGTGGACATACCTAGGCCATGCTAAAAAAAGTAAATAAAATTTGTTGATGGATTGTTGAATTAACACTCCAAATGTTCCCATTCTATTTCTCTTCTACCCGAGGTTTAAAATTTGAGACAAAATAATAAAAAAAAAAAAAAAAAAAAAAAATAATTTATTGTCTTGTACTAGACATATCAGCAGACTAGTTAGTAAAGTCCATCTGTCTGGTGTTTCACATTCTCCGGTGCCACGACAGAGGTTTCCACCTTCTCCTCCTTAGCACCCCATTGCTCATCCCATAACACTGGATACCTGTTCAAACAATAACCCACCCACTTGCCATCAGATAACTTAGGTTACCAAGGGAGATGATGTGAACAACAGGCACATTGAAAAACAAGAATGTGTGTGTGTCAACAAACAAAGTTCAGAGGGTAATGGGAGGAGAAGGATATGCTGGGAGGGTGTGTCAACTATTGATTATGGAATTAAGTCTGTCTGTATCATGTGAAAGAAAGTAAGTCTATTTTTTCAGTGTCCTTCTGGCAAAGTCATCAGAAAAAGAAGCAATTCAATAGAATTTCTATTCAGCTTAATTAAACTTGGTTGAAGAAGCATAGAGACGAAAAGTCAAGGTTGTAGCTCATCTTGTTCATTTTTGTTAATCAATCTCCCTATCCAATTGCCTAAAGTAATTTTCATTTGTAAATTGTAACAGGCAAATATTTGGAATCGAATTTATTATGTCTTCATCTTCAGTTCTATTTTTTATACTTTTTATTTTTAATTATTATTTGGTGTTTCTTTTTAAATTCAACAAAGGCTATGACTTAAACATTTCAATTAATAAGCAAAACATTATTTATGTCTCATTATTCCTATATACATATAACTAATTTTTCTTTAAAGATGAATAAAGAGAAATTATTTAATGTCTAGATCAATTTTTACATTTTCTCTGTTGCTGAAAATCTTTTTCGGTATATAGTCGATTTTATAGTTTCAACTTATTTTTTAACATGGCAAATACTGATTGATCTCCCTTACATTCATTAGATACAAGCTATATGAGCCCACACCTTTCAATAAGGAATGGTATATAGATTTGAATATTTTAGTTTTGTCGACTCACATGCGATTTCTCTTCTCCCCCACCCCATTTAATTGCCTGTTCATGTATAGCTATTTCAGCGATGAACGTCAATAAAGTTCAATTATCATATTTTATTTGAGGAAATTACAAAAGTTTTTGAGGATTCACCGAAAAAAGTTGGATTTCGAGAAATAGCTAAATTTAGCAAACCAAATTAAATGCGATTTAGATTTCCGAATTTGTAAACGAAGGTACATTTTACTTTTACAAATTTTCCGACTTAATCATTACAAATGTTGAATTTAATTTCAGTCTTACTAATGGGGAAAATAGTTGAAATAAATAATAAATTATAATATATTTGCGAACGTCATTTTCCATTTTATTTCAATTACATGACTTTTCATTTCAAAAGAATTTAAAGTGGTTAAGAAGAGGTTTACTCTGATGTAAGGGAGATAAATCAGTATTTGGTATGTCAAAATTGTTTGATACGCAGAACTAACTATACCGTTCTCTTTATCTCTATTTTAAAAGTAGTTTTATTATTAAAAAAAATATTTTCAGCTCTGGTTAAAGAACTATTCTTTAACTACTGACAACAACAACGTTCCTAAAGATTTTTTTTGTATTTCGTTTACCCATTAATGTACATATACTGTACGAGAACTCAAAACAACTTTCAATGGAGGAGACAAGACAGAGGACAATCAAAGTCAAGTGGGCATCCGATACAAACAGATAATTATTACCCAGGTGTATCACATGACAGGATTGACCGACTCGCTGGTGGCCGAGACATAAGTGTAGTTGTTGCATTTACCCAATCCTTTTATTTCAAATTTGCATTTTCTACTGAAAAAAATAATTGAAAATTTAAATAAATGTTACTGTTTTTGTTGGGTTTTTTTGCGAAGAAAAAGGTACATTGATTGAATGTGTATGTGTTGTAGATATGTGGAATAATCGATCGTCCTTAGGACCGCTTGTAATTTGTAACCAGTTTTAAATGCTTCATTCAAATAAAAAAATCAACAAAAATGATTTTTCCTTGCTTTTAAGTTAACTTTTGACACTTCGTGGATAAAATATTTTCCAACACGAGTTTTGATTTTAAAATTTATATGAAATTGAAAAACAAAACAAAAAAATACATTTCGACCAATCCCCCCCCCCCCAGCCGCAAAAAATACGATTATTACATTGTTTTCTATTTTTTAAAAGCTCCCAGTTTATAAGTTCCTGTTGGCATTTTTTTTTTTTTTAAGCATTAAGTCCATCGTTATGCGAATCTTTTTCATTCATTCTGGAGAGCCTAACTACCCTTTTTTTCTTTCAATCTTCTGTATTTTAAAGTCAAGTTTCCAGGAGAAAACTCGCTTCCAGTAAAAAAAAAAAAAAAAAAAAGTGATGAGGAATACAGGGATTATTAGATTTTCTGTTAAAAATTAAATCTTTAGGTTCAACTACAAATTGTTTTAGTTGTAGCGAATGGTGTAGAGGAAGTACATTCATATACCTGAATAAATACAAATTATTAATTTAAAAAGAAAGGAAAAAGAAATACCAACAAAAACTACTTGAAATGTTTCATAAATTTGAATAAAAAAATAAACCAAGAGATACAGTATTACTGTTCTTGTAGTTAGTGCTGTTCGCCGAGAAATTACAATCACAAACCGACGAGTCCGCAAACATGCACAAAAATATACTTATACTGGAGATTTAAAAAAAAAAAAAAAAACTGAAAAATATCAACAACATTTCTCGATTAGTAGTACGATCACGAAAGGAATATGGAGAAGAAAAAAGAAAATGGAAAAAATTTATGATTATTAAGTAAAGTTTGATAAATGGGGTTTCCACCCACTTTTTTTTTTAGTTAATGACCGTAGAAAGTTTTAGTCTTACTTTAAAAATAATAATTAACGAAGTATCTTTGGCAAGCAATTAGTTACTAGTACAACTCATTTTTTTTTTTTTACTACTACTACTGCTTGTCAGTTTTCTATTGGTCTTAAATCTTTATTCATTTTTCACGTCAAATGAAAATGAATCATTTATTTCTTTGAACTGAAATAGAATTTCAAACGAAATTTTTAAAGTTTTAACTGTTGACAAAGTTCGGAAACAGGTGATAGGCTTAGGTACAAAAAAAAAAGTAGAAAAGAACAAACTGCAGTGATGTGCCACATGATGCGTGGTTATAGCGTCAGTCAGATGAAGGTCCATTCTGGAATTATTGTTTGTTTATTTTCTCTACATATTCTCGAGGTGATAATTTTTATTTACTATGTCCCGCTGCAACTTAGTGTTTACAAAACATAAGGAAGTTTGAGAAATATTTAAAGTTGTGAAACGGACTTAATGAATAATATTTAAATAATGATGTAACATTTTAAGAAGCGGAAGTAATAGGCTACTTAATTTTCCATCAAACGATAATTTTGTTTTTTTGTTTCAGATAACTAAAAGAGGGAGTGAGACGTTTCTATAGCTAAAAATGAAAATAAATTTATGCTAATAAAATTTCAACTGATGAAGTTTCGTTTTACTTTGGAAAAAGCTAATCTTTTTTTTTTCTTCAAACAATCCGGACAGAAATAAAAAAAGGTTTCAGAATATTTAAAAAAAAAAACAAACTTCGATTTAAAATAGAATCAAGTATTACGATGTTTTTTTTTATGTTGGTGGGAGATGATTAACTAAAAACAAATGGAAACGTGTGTAGATCGGAAAATGACGAGTACTTTTTTTCACAGGTGTAACAGAATTAACGAACAAGAGAAAAGTGCAAAGTCCATAACTAGTTAGGGAAAAAATGTAAAATTAAACAAGTAAGGTATTAATTATGACCTTTACGAAGTGATGCAAGCAAATCCAACAAATAGAAAAAAAGACACTCAATTATTTAAAACTATCAATCATGCAAGCAGCAAGTTGTTCTAACTTTAGTTATGAAAATGAATCCGCCATTTTAAAAATAAGCACTTGTTGATGAAGAAGGAAGAAAGATGAGGTTAAAAAAAACAACAACAACAACTTTCACAACTCTTTTCTGAAACATTTTTAAATGATGGAAAAGTGAAACTGGTTTTCAGTGAAGAAGAAAAGTACCAGATTAGAAAAATAATCAGTGTGGATTGGTGAGGAGATAGACATCAGGTGATGATGAGGAAGTTAGGAGGAGAAGGGTAAAACTAAAAGAAAAATATTGGCTTTTAAATTAAGTGATTGGCAATAAACAAAAACATTTTAAATTTTTAGTTTAAACATTCTTTAACGTCATAAAAACTATTAAATAAAATAATTAATTTATACATTTTTACTCGCTCAGACAATTTTTTTTTTGTGATGGAGCTGACGTAAAGTAAAGACCTTTTTCTTTCCAGGTAAGTAAAAAAAAAAAAAAAATGAAAATATATGCAAGTAAAATCGACTAAGCTAAAAATAGCTTTAAAAAGTAAAAACGCACATAAAAGATGACGATGAAATAAAAAAAATTTCCAGAGTAAAATAAATAAAAATAAAATAAAATAAAAAAACATACAGTTTTGGAGGCAATAAATTTCTTTTCCCCGCAAACCGTAGGAAACTTAAAAAAAAAAAAAAGTTTCAGATGGTGTGATAGTGATAATACGAATTGGTTTACTTTGTTTTTACAATTCACATTTTAGCAAAACGAAGATAAAATTTTAAAATATGGATGACTTCAAGAAATAAAACCAAAACACTTAAACACAAAAAGGCTTGTACTAAAAACGAAAAGTCTATCACGAGAAAATGTCATGTTGGTTAAGCTATTAATTAAAGTTAACAGATGCAACAGAGAAAAAATACCTGTATCGGGAATAGTCATCTTTAAAATGCTGCTGCTGCTACAGATAAGGACGAGGAAGAAAATGGATAACTAATTGCTCCGAGAGTCGGTGGGTAAATGACAAGTGGTTGGATGGCGTTTCTCGTCTTTTAAGTTGATGGAGGAAAAGGAAGGATAGAAAGTACAAGGATGCTGACACAATCCTGATAGAATTGAATTAACTTAATGCTACTACTAATATTGAAAGAAATACAAGTAATTCTATTAGCAGTGGTGGTGGTGGTAGTAGTAGTAGTAGTAGTAGAAACTTCTTGCCTGCTTCCCTCTGTCCAAACTGAAAATGTTTTTTTCCGTTCTGATAAATAGAGCCTGTCTACCTGACAGCTGTAGGCATGGCAACAAGCAAGTGATATTGTCCGGCACCACCATAAACCCTCCACCCTCTTCCCCTACCCTTAAGCCATTTAGAGCATCACCCAAAAACACACACACGCAAAAAAGTGAAGATAGCACTTCTTATTTGTCTGGGAGTGTTACATACACACATCCGTTGAAAAAGTATACTGAAACATCAAGGGTCGAAGGGAAAAGGGTAAAGCGTAAAGAAAGATGAAAAAATTTAAGTAAGTCTTTGCTGCTCACGACCGAAACATTAGAAAAAGTCATAGAACAGTGCACACATTAAACAAGCCAGGAAAAATGGAAAACCCAAGTGACAAAAGAAAAATGAAAGAAAAAATATCTCATACACATACAAAAAGAGATAGACACACAATGTGAAAATCGTGTTCCATATTTAAAAAATAAAAACCAACTTTCGCAACAGCTTGTCCCTAACTTTTTCTGTTAAACAAAAAATAAAAAAAAAATTGACGTAGATATGAATAATTGTTGATAGAAACGAAGAAGAGATCAATTTTAATTTAAAAAAAGTAAAACTAAAAAAGCGTATATCAATTTCCTTTATCAAGCAAAGAGAAATAATTTCTCTTAGTTTTGTGAGAAAAATCTCATTTTTAGATTTTTATAAAAAATGAATTACAAAAATCTTTTTAAAAAATTCGTTATCAGAGCGGAAAAATAGCTTTGAAAAAGCTAAAAAAAAAATAAAAAATAAACTAAAGTAAGCATTTAAAAAGGCTTCTAGTTTCGTTCTATTACAACAAAGTTTATTAGCGGAAGAAACGATAAATTATGTATCATCATCTTTACGAAATAAAAATGCTTCTTTCACACATGTTCAAATAATTTTTATCTCCTGGAATCAAACTCGTAAAAAAGGGCAAAAATCTTCTCTTTTTTTTTAAAAAAAAAAAAAATTAAAACCCGTGAAAAATAGTTTTCTAAATTCTTGACTGTTGGTGTTGAAAGTAGATTTTTTATTCTTTTTAACAAATAAAGTGGGTGAAAGGGTGATGAAAACAGACTTTCATTAGAGCGAAAAAAAAACTTTTTTAAAGCAAAAAAAGCAAGTTGTTTTCTCTGACAGCAAACAATTATTCACTCTTTCATTCCATAAATAGTCGAACAAAATTCAATTACAGCAGAAATTTAACCAGATTCTTTCCTAAAAACTTAATTTTGAAAATTAATTTTATTCACTTGAGTTATCCTTGAAAAACTTTGAAGACTTGCAAATAAAAAGTAACACAAAATAATGCGTACAATTCAAATTAATCACCTCAGATGAGGTAAAAACTAAAATTGTGAATTTGTTTTTTAGGAACTAAGAGAAATAACATCTTTCATGTGTGGTTGTCGTCAACCACACAAAAAAGATTTTAATTAAAATAAATACGTACGCTTCCATAAGTTTCTATGGTAACAGTGATGTTTGTACAGCCGCTACGGGGGTGGATACCAAAGGTTACTTACTTAATAAGACTAAAAAGAAAATATTTTTAGGGCCCACCTGACACACGAAGCAAACCCGACAAACATGCGGCCTAATTCAACTGGCCGTTTTTTTTTTTCTGGGTGTTTTGAGTCTTTGACTGAACGTTTCGAAATAATTAGGCTTTCCGCTTTTGTTTTATTGTTTTACTTTTATGTATTTTATTTTCATTATTATCAATTTTTTTTTGAGTGAGACAAGTTACAGAACAACTTTTAACGATTAAAGAGAGAAATAAAAAAAATAATAATCAGTCCAAGAGAAATTTTTTGTTTGTTACACTGAAAATTACAATTTGTAATGTGAAATGCATACGTAAATGAATACTTCTAAAATACATTATCTATCCCTTTCTCTCATTTTGAGAACCAATGAAATGCTACTGTAGCTACACGTTTTTAAAAATAATGTTGTCAACGTAAGAGGATTTCGAAGACAAAGTATTTAAAGAGATGTCGCAATTATTTTATTTTTTTATATAATTTTATAATTTTAAAACCCAGCTGATATATATTTTGAAAATCATAATCGCTTGTTCAAGTTTAGTCGTTGACGTTCGACTGCATTTTTTTAACTAATCTTTATAAAAGTGTACGTTTGAAACAAGACAAGTTTTTCTATTGTAGTTGTCAGCTTCTCGATATTTATGCCGCAACCTTTGAACCTCAATCACTATCTCTAACTTCTTTCTCGTCATAGTTTTTTTCCAAAGTCTAGGAAATGAAAAATAAGTAATAATGTGGCAGGTAATTAAAGATGATTCCTAGGTACAATTATTTATTTTTCACGACATATGTCACATGTGTAATTGAGAGAGAGAAGTAAGTTACTTGATCTTATTCTCAAAAAGAAAAACTTCAAGTCTAGTCGTCTAATTTTGAACTCTGACCAAAGCATAAAGCAAGTTACTCAAAAACATTAGGAAAATCATAAATTATGCTGATAAATTACAACTAACTTCTTTTTATTAGCTTTATTATGATGATTGAAAAGTCAGACATATTCTCTTCTGAATTACTCTTAGTGTTTAGGAACGGTCTTTGGCAGGTTTTGTTAGGATATGAACAAAAACTTACACCTTAAAAAAATCATGTTTCCAGCTTTGACAATCTCCCAACGACTTTTTTGTAACAACGGGTATATAGCGAATCTTTGGACTAAGTAGGTACCAATGCATCTTTAGGCATACGTGCAACGTAGGTACATATTTTAAAAATATATATTTTATACAAGAAATATTCATTTTTCAATATATTTTCTTTGTCAATGCACTTTTAGTTTTAACCCAACGCTTCTTCATTAAACACATAAATAAAAAATTTCAGAAAATCAGCTCTGGTAAGGCTATGTAATTATTTAACCTCATCTAGTCAAAACAAAACATGACCAACATGTCATAAACCGAAGTAGATGTAATTCATAGAAAATTTGCTCTTTTAAAAAAAATGGGAGAAATTTCATTTTTTAAAAAAGGGCATAAGTTTATAAACTGAAGTGCCCAAAAATTAGACCCAACACTACACTGGATGGTTTTGTTCCCCGTCATTTGTTGAAATAAACAGAAATTCAATCGTGTGATAATAGGCAAAGAGGCGATATACCTGTGGTAGTCATTGGACACGGACATGATTTAACAACGATCGCAGAATAATTGTTAAAGCCAGAAAGATAGGACAGTATCTTCGAGGTAGCAAGTGCTCTAGTTCTGACTTGGTCATTAGTAATAAGAGTATACCAGGAACAGACGAATTCTAGCCTGACTCAAGTGAAAACTGAGGATACCCAGGGTTATTGCAAAAATGGGATCACCAACAATTGACAAGAATGGTAATCACCAGACGAAGGAAAACATTAGGTCAAATTCAAATCACATCCCAATTCTACATTTGTTTTCGTTCAACGCAGTAATCTGTACATCGTAAACTGCATACTATGTTTTTTGTTTTTTGGTAACCGTCAACAAGAGTACTATTATGACACCACAACATCAGTTACTGCGTCTAAAAGTCAGAAAACAATGCTATTGAATTGTGGAAGACTCATCATATTTCTATCTGTTTTGACAGACGGTCGAGTTCATGTTTGAAGGAGATCACATGAGGTGTGAATCCAGTCTGTCATAAGAGTGTGTGATGGCTCTGTAATGGTGTGATGTGTGTCCTGTTTGTAAAAAATAAAAAAAAGGAATATATCTTGACAGGTGTGATATACACAGATCTTTTTGCAGCCCATTTGCAATCCTATAAATCCATTCACCATGTTTCCCGATGCTGATAGTTTGTTCCAGAAAGATAACGAAACACTCCATTGTGTGCGGGTAACATCTGGTCCCAGGAGCACTATACAGAAACATTTCCAGATAGTATTTACAACCAGTTACTTCAGTCACCAATATTTAAACCGATTAAGAATGTTGCAGACCACACTAAAAATTCTCTTTAGCCATACACAATATAAATTCAACTCAGTTAGGAACAACTCTGAAACATACCTGATTGCATATACTCATGTAGCATCTCGAAAATTCAATATCATGTCGCATAACCACCGTTATTCAGTAAAAAAAAAAAAGCTAAGTTACAAATAATAAGATAACTGCTGGCGCATCATATTATCGCAGCGATAGAATGACCTACAAAAATTTTCCAGTAGCATGATGTTATTGACCAGAGGTCACTTTGATTCATCGGGACATCGGAAAGAAAAACATCCAGGTTATAAAAGCGTTCTCTTGGCTCATCATTGTCTGGCACAAGCCCACATTTACGAAACTCATAAACACAAAGACCAATAAGCGAATTTTCAGCAGAAAAAAATCTTATATACGACTCTGAATTGTTGGAAGATTATTTAGCATTCCTTGCAACAGGTATATACAAAACTTGACATGATTGCTCCAAGCGGTTTGCAAATTTTCTCGCGATATTTTCAGTATAACAATATTATCACGAGAAAAATACAAATTTTATTTCATGAGATAACATTTATCTCCCCTGGAAATATTTATAATTATGCAATGCAATGTATTGTAAAATTTGTAAATGTGAATTTCTAACTACTCGGTACAAGGCTTATGGTGAAAAAGAGCGCCTCTAACTAAACACAGTTTTAAAATTATCGCAATATTTACATTTTAATTATCCAT